AGCCTCGAAAATATTTTCAAAGGTGCTCAGTAGACTGCACAGTGTGAAACATGAAATACAGTTGAGGTCATGTAGTGCCTCAGCAAAACATGGCTCACTGAGCATATAGTGTGAAGAACAGTTTGATTCTTTCCTATTTAAATTATGCAAACAAATGGAAATGCAAGCACAGCAAAACAGATACATGGCAAAAATGTTAGCTGTCTTGTGGCTCTGGCGACCAGTTACTGGCTTGGCTCCAGTTCAGTGTTGCTATTGTTATCCCATTGCATGTTTGTCCAAGCATTTATCACGTTAGGACCAGGGACTGCTCCATTCTAATGGAAAACACACCAGAATCCTGCAAATTCTAGAATGGCCTGAATGCTGCTCCTTTGGCTCTTGTGAACTCAGGAGAAGTACTGTAGGAACCAGATAGAATTTCTCATCCTTATTTGATCTGAAATTTGCAATTTTAGTATTTATTAATTGGTGGTTAGTAGTTCTTTTAACATAACATGAGTATGTAGTCTACTCGCACGTGTCTTTAACTTCATGTTGTCACTCCAAGGCCACAGCATCTGTCTGGATTGGAGATCATTCGAGATCTATGTGAGGGGAAGCTGGAAGGTGGAGAAATTGGCTCAACAGAAATAACCTTCACTCCTGGGAAGATCAGAGGTGGAACCCACATAGCAGATACAAAAACAGCAGGGTATGTCTTTGTACACAGATAATGACTGAGCAGTAACTTCTCTCAATTTCTTCTGGTAACTTGAAAATTATGACAGAAGACATTTTTGTAACCTCAAAATTATCACAAAAGAGCTGGGAAAAAAAGAACATTAATTCATGGCTAATGAGCCAAAATCTGTGCTGCCCAAGCCAGATATATGTGACCAAAGAACCTTTAGTATAGGCAGGATATGTATGAATAAAGTATGTGCGAGTATAGTAGTTTTAAAATTATAATTGATACATAAGTTGAACACTTGATTAATGTTAAGCAAAAAACAGCTGCCCGTGTATTTAAAACTTTATCTTCTCACATTAGTACATTACATATCAGGTCAAATGCATCAAATTAGATAAGTATCTCAAATCTGTGGAGATCTGAAATAATCCTCATCATATAATAAAGTAAATTTTGAAATTTTACTTGTGCACGTAATAGTACAATATGGGATATTAGTCTTTTGGAACTGGGAACATATTCTATCCACAGGTTTTTGTGCCCATGTTTCTTTTATTCTATATTTCCATGTTGGGTCCTTTGTTCTTGCAATCTGTTGCAAAACTGAGTAAACGGGTTTAGCTATGGAAGGGTGGTGTGAACAGTTTGTTTGGAAGCGTAAGCCAGGTTAGGCATAAGTTAAAGTGTCCTTTAAGTGAAGATAAATATTTTTCTGAGCTGCAATAGTATAAACAACCAAGCTGATGCCTTTTACTTATCACAGAAAGGTTTGAGTAAGCAACAATGCAGCAGAATGAGTAATTAAGCACAAGCCAAAAAAAAAAGAAACAGTATGGTTCACAAACATTTGGAAGTTACTTAAGAAATCAAAACCATGTTTTCTTCAGTTCAGTAGTGATTTCTGCTTTCACAATTCAAAATGCTGTTTGAAACCCCTGTGAGATACCTGTTTTGTTTTGCAGAACAAACTTGCTTTTGGAAAATTTATTGTGGAAGTTTTTCATTATCTGTGAAATGTGGGGAGATTCACTAATAGTTGAATCTTGTATCTAAAACCATATTTTCTATGCCTCTGAATTTTCTTGTGCAGGATGCTGACCAGCTTATAAGCAATTTTATAGTTTTCTAAATATTTTGTTATTAAATAAGTATTAAAATGTTAAAATTGCTGCCTAAGCCTTTTCTGCTTTTATCATCTGCTAGCTAAACCTACAGTTTTCACAGCCTCATCAGTATACTAAGTAGGGTACATTATTTTTATTTAAAGCAGGAATATTAAAGACACAATTATTGTAAAATCAAAACCTTCATATTTAGGCTTGCTAAGGATATGAAGTTTTAAATTAGTATTTTTTAGACTGATAAATCTACTTTATAGATAATGTTCAAAATCAAATACTTACGTAAATGCTCTGGAAAGTAATTTGCCTTTGATTTGTAATGATTATATGGAATCTGTGGATTATGGAATTCTGTGGATTATGACATTTGAGTATCTTATAATTGCTTTTAGGAGTGTGTGTCTACTGATGCAGGTAGCAATGCCCTGTGTGCTGTTTGCTGCTTCCCCATCAGAACTTCATTTAAAAGGTGGGACTAATGCTGAGATGGCTCCTCAGATAGACTACACAGTCATGGTAGGGAAAAATTTCTTTGGCTTGGTGCATCTTTTATGCATATATATGCAATATAACTACTGTACTTCTCTTGCTCTTACTGCAAGTTTATTTTGGAACTAGGCATGGGAATATAACACTATTAGTGTACTTACTGTATGTAGAGAGCAACCAGTGTTTCATGGAATTCCCTGAAACAGCAACTAGTCTGTTTGCTTTTAATTACTAAAGAAAATTTCACTTAAAATATATTATTGTAGAAGTTCTGTGAATTTTTAGGAATTTCTCTTCCTCTTTCCATAAGAAAATAATTTTACATCAAGTCATTCAGAATGAAGTATGAGAAATGTCAAATAAGCTGTATGGATGAGACTGGCTATCTTTTTTTTTTTAATAATGTAACTGAAATTTTTGTGTTGAACTTTTTTTTTTATTGGAGAAGACTGCATAAAATAGTATGAAATTATAAATGCAAAATAGATTTGGTCTGTGTGCTTATATATGCTTGTTTTTCAGGTTTTCAAGCCAATAGTTGAAAAGTTCAATTTCACATTTAATTGTGACATAAAAAAGAGGTGAGAACAAAGGCACACACACAAGATGCCCACAATCAAGCTGAGGGATGAATTTATAATACCTGAACTAATCAGCATTAGTTGTCCCTGTGCGTACTGTCACCCTATGATGAATGTGATATGGTCTTTCTTGTCTTTTTTTTTCATTGCTGAGTCTTCAGCTGCTGTTTAATGGTTCCTATGGGCCACCCCTGAGTGAAGCGCGTGCTGAACAGGCAGTACATTACTGAGCTTTTTCTGAGGTGCCAGTTATGTTGGCGTTAGGTAGTTAGTAAGATGTGTGTTTTGAGGTAATACTGTTAGAGAACCTCATTCTACTATAAAGATTTCTAAGGCACACATCAAGAAAATTCATATGTACAGTAACAGAACATAAAAATGTATAATGAAATGTATTAAGAGCTTTCTGGCTCTTTTCTTGGTTTCCTTGTGATCTTTGCATTTATTTATATCTGATTACTGTTGCTAAATAGGGGCTACTATCCTCAAGGAGGTGGTGAAGTCATAGTCCAGATGTCACCAGTCAAAGAGTTGAGCCCAGTAAACTTAACAGAACGTGGTACAGTGACAAAGATATATGGAAGAGCATTTGTTGCTGGAGCGCTGCCTATAAAAGTAAGTGCTGATATTAGCTCTGGTAGTATCCAAATTCATGTCTCTATAAAATTGCATGTCATCTGCTTAAAATACCTCTACTGTTCCTGTATTCTGCAGTCTTTCACATACAAACTAAGTAGCCTTATTCAATGGTTTGAATTATTCAGGCCATAGAATAGCATTTTGGACATTTCTAAAATGCATTTATTGCATAGCAATATGGTAGCAGCTAGAAGAGGAGATGAGAACAGTATCCTTGATATCCTCCATGTGACTGTTCAAAAGTCTTTAGCATGTATTGAGGGGTATCTTACATCTGATTTACGTATTCATATTTGTGTGGATTTAAATCTGAAATCATGGCCCTTATTCATAGATTTATGGGTAAACCATGAGGCACTGTAATAGAGAGAGGTCAGACTGCATCAAATTTTTCAGCCGTTGCTAAGGGTGTTAGAACAAGTTAAGAGTCGGTTTAGCCAAAGGTAAAACAGAAATTTTCTCCTTTGTATCCCCTTCTTTCTATTGTTCTTATCCTGCCTGCGTTTACAGAGAATGAGTGGTGAGATCTCCTTAAGGCTCCCTCTCACACACAGGCTAGGAATTAGTAGAGGAAGGAAGAGGAGAAACCGAGTTACGTTTTGAAGAGCTGTGGACTGCTGGTTTTGGTCTTAGAATCTCCAGACCTATGAATGTTGGCTAGGATTGGATCACAAGGATGGGATAAGCTTCATCTGTCCCCACCTGCCTGTGATTTAGAATTGTTGTTTTATATATTACATCTTATATAGTATATCCCATACCTAATAATTGTGGACTGCTTTTTGGGGTATTTTTGGGGCAGTTTTTGTTTTGTTTTTTTTTTTACAATCTAATGTCTTGAGATAATCAAGACTAAAATAAAATCTTTTTCCCTATTAATGGAGAAAAGTTCTTGAATTTCTACTGTTACTGAAGCTTCTACATACATTACTATAATTATAATTTGTTCATTTAATGTTACCTTAATTTTGTGGGAAAATTCTCGGAAGAGATGGTCAATGCTTGCTCATAGAGGTTTTATAATAATCCTTTGTTTTTCCAGTTTAAAGTAGCTCCTTTATGCAGGGATTCACTGTAATAATTAGAGTTATGAAAAAATATTATTGTAGTTCCATAATTTAATTAAAGTTTTTACCTTTTATCTTGTTAGCTGGCAAAAGACATGTCAGCAGCAGCTGTGAGATGCATCAGAAAAGAAATAAGAGACCTTTACATTAACATTCAGCCTGTTCGAGAACCTGATGATCAAGCTTTTGGGACTGGAAGTGGAATAATGTAAGATAAGCCCAAACTTTCTGTTGATGTCTATAACGTTGCTAGTTGATTAGCTAGATGTTGATTACAAAGACGATATATTAAGTGTAATGTGAGTGATTTTGTTCTTAATATTGTTTCTGTTTTTTCTGCTTAGCATTGTTGCAGAGACTTCAACAGGTTGTTTGTTAGCTGGGTCATCACTTGGCAAGAGGGGTAAGAGTCCCATGAAGTATATCTCTTTCAGATTTAAATTAATGTACTATTTACAAGTAGGAATCTGAAGTATAATCTATTCAAAGAACTGATGCTTTGAGTGTTGTATTTTTAAGTGGATATTGTTTAGTAATAAAGGACAGTGGAAACGAGTAGATTCTCAACATCGTAAATGGAGTCTTATACTTTGTGTTAAGCTGCTTCTGCATAGTGACAAAAAATACAAAATTATTAAACTCACCCTTTATCAGAATGGATTGTTAAGGATCACTGAGTTGAAAGAGCTTCTGGACTTTAAGAGCATACAGTCTTTGTGGTTTACCTGAAGGTGAATCTCGATGTGTATCTAGATTAAAAGGAACAGAAGTGATTTTGTTTTTAAATGGTTTGAATAAAATGTTTCTCTAAGTGGGGCTACTTTCTTTCCACTGCTTAGGAAGTATGAACTGAATGTCATCGTAAGATGGGAGGGGTTTCTTAAGCAGACATTTGAGGCAAGAGCATGGAAATAAGGTTTAAAAAGTTGATAATTTCTTGATTATTTTTTTTCCTTCTTCATTTTTAAAATGTTAAATAATAATTGGCAGCAATCCTAATCTCCTGGATTTCTCTGTTAGGAAAGAACTCTGACAAGGTTGGCATTGAAGCAGCTGAGATACTGCTTAGGAATCTTAAACATGGTGGAACTGTGGATGATTCTCTGCAAGACCAAGTAAGGCTCCTGTATGTGTTTACATGAAGTTGAAGTAGCAAGAACATGCATGCATGTATTACTTGTAAAGAATATAAGTCTGAATAGAGAAAGACTGAGATATAGATTTCAAAGTTAGACTATATCTCCACAGGTAGGCATGGCTTTACGTAATTATTTGAAATTAGAAGTCTTAGAAGGTTTCTGGGTGTGGTCACAACATCACTAGGATTAGCAAATTACATACAGTTCTTAAGAACCATAGATGCTCTTGGCTTTGCACCAACACCCTTAAATTTTCCCTTCCTGTAAATCTTAGTAGGTATGGAATAAAGAAGTAGGAATCTGCTTCTATTTGGCACTCCGTGTAGTGCAGTAAAAATAGCTCCCTGTTTACATATTAAGAATGATACTAAGTGAAGCTATTTGAGAACAGAATATCTAGGAGGTGCTCCTGTTTGTCTTGCTCACCTAATTTAATTTGAGAATGAAGACCTTCCACTATGTTATTCTCAATAATGCAGCCTGATAAGAATCTTGGGCAGTTCTAGACAGGATGATGTTTCCTCTTAGCTGTAAACACCTGGCCACACATTACTATTCTGTAGTATAACAGGAAGTATTTAGGTCTTGGACTCATCCTCCTTTTACCAAAGCATGCACAGTACAATTGGTGGAAATGTGCCACAACTAGATTCAGTGCATATGGGAACTGTTCAGAGTTGTGTCACACCTTACAGAATACTTGTCATGGTGGTGCTTGTCAATCAAATCAGATTTATTTTAAATATCTCTCTGGCGAATATGTGATCAGAAAGCATTAGAATTAAAAAACCTCTTCCTGAGTTTTTCTCTCTGTAGAGGTAATCTACCAATCTGGAGTCTGACGTGACTTTGGGGGATTTTGGGGCGGGAGGGGTAGGAGAGAACAAAGTTAAATGTAGTAACAGGAATTCATTGGCAAACTCCACTGTGGAAAAGTAGCAGCCCTTCTGTGATAGGCATTACAGTAGTAATTTCCAAGCTTCTTGAGCCTTAGATCGCTCTTAACACTCAGCATCATGAACTTTAATGAAACTTGGCAGACCGTGTTTTTACATCTACAGACATTTTGCATGGTTTTCCTTTTTTTTTAAAAAAAAAACCCCAAAACAGTAAATTCCTAGGATCTGAAGACTTAGTTACTAATTTACCTTTCCCTTCCTTTCAGCTGATCATATTTATGGCGCTAGCAAAGGGGGTGTCTAGAGTGAAAAGTGGACCAATTACACTTCATACTCAAACAGCTATACACTTTGCAGAGCAGCTGACAAAGGTGAGTCCAAAAGTTGGGGAAGTTTTACCTATTGTTGTCATCTAGTAACTAGGAAATACAGTTTAGTAGGCATCGTGAACCAAATTTGATCATGAAGGACAAGCATTGATAAAATAATTTCTACAGTATTTATACAGGAGTTTACCTGTAGAAAGTGAACATACCTTGGAGTTAAATGCCTTTAGAATTGTTAGATACTTTTACCATGTTTATTTAAATGTTTTTTAATGAAATCAGTCAAAGTTGTAATATACATAAACACATGGTAATATGATTATTTGGTATCAGATATTGAATATTCAAACTTATGTATGTTATAACTTAATTAGTAATATATCTCTAATCCTGTTTTAGGCCAAATTTACTGTGAAAAAATCAGAAGAGGAAGATCCCAGTAAAGATACCTACATCATTGAGTGTGAAGGAATGGGGATGATAAACCCAAACTTATAGTTTTTTTTAAAAAAAAATAAAAAAGCAGCAAGCTGACAAAAGCAAAACTCAACATACCTCAGTGATGTATTGCACTACATACACATGTGAACAGAAGAAGCCTTCTGTCACATCTGAGAGATTTCACTTCAAGGATCATGTGGAGTTTTTCCTTGGTGTGCTGAGAATCTGTGGTATAAAAAATGGGAACTTTATTTTTTTTTTTTTTACTATTAGCAGCAAAATGAGTACAGACAGGACAGCAAATAGAATACATTGTATGTATTTGAGAGCTTCAATGAGAAGCTTTGAAAATTCAGATTTACCAAAGTAGAAAATAACTATTTCAGTTTTGAAAAAATATTGATACATTCTTTCCCCTTTAAAACAATGGAAGTTTTATTCTTTGGAAACCTTTATGTTACGAGGAATATGGAATGAAGTGCACCATCAAATCTGTATCGCTGTTCTTCCTTATCCATTTTGCTTAAATTGTGCATGAGGAAATAATAAAGCAATATCATGATATGAAAGCCTGGTATTTATATTTGCTGTTACCTCAGCAGGTTGTGTTAGTGGGAGATGGATACAAAGTAACTTTGCAGAAGCAGAATTTCTTTCCCTGCAGAAAGGACAACACTCAGTGCATAAAATAATCTTCTTTTAAATCTACCCTTTTCATCTATTTTAAAAAACCTTTTCAGGCAAGCTAAAAAAAGCACCACACTACATCCCAGACACAAAGTATTAACTTCATGGTATGCTTGGATTTTCTATCTACAGTTGTCCTTGTTAGCGTACTAGCTGGGTCTACATTTTCACCAAGCTGTTGTTGTTTGTTCTTTCTAAAGGGAGTAATTAATTTCAGCTGTGATTAGGGAGCTGCCTAACACAGATATATACACACAGATATGTACATGTATGTACACCGAGCACTGCATATACACACAAGTGTATTTAGGCATATAAATCCAGTTGCATTATCCCTCATCTGTGGATTAAGTAAGGAAGACCTGCCGTTCTGGCCTTGAAAGTGCTACAAAATCTTTTTCTGAAGTAAAAGGAAGATAAAAGGAGAGATGGGGCATAATTTTTTTGCATATGAAGAACTGACTTACAGAGTTTGAATCACTTAACCAAAACTGTGTCAATGCACTCTGGAAGCTTGAATTGATTTCCCGGTTTTCCACAGCCTTGTCGGCAGCCTTTATTCTCAAGATCTTTTTTTTTTTCCTTGGTTGTGACTATTGAACCTAACAGCTAAATATGTAACTTGAAGTATTGTTTGTCTTATTCATTAAGATAATTGCATTATTGTGCATTTCTAACATGAAAAAAATCCTTTGCTTATGTATGAAAACGTTCACCAATTATCTAATTAACAATCCCCTGTTGCCACTTGAAAACTAGCGCAAAAGAATAGGATGCTATTAATTTCTAATTATTTTTCTTTAATACTGGGAATGGTCTGAAGGAGGCAGCAGATAACCGCTGAGGTGTGTTTGTAACATGTACTCGACTGGCATTGACAGGGACCTCTCTGCATTACTAGTCTGTGCTACTAATGATTTTCAGTGTTTCCTTTCGGAATAACTCAGAATGTATTTTTCCAAAGCCCCCAAAGAGTTGTTGTCTGTGCTTAAGAAAACAAGCTCTTCTAAACCACATTTGAGTGCATCTTTACCTGTTTCTACAATTCGAAACCTTAATATACTTGACTAGTTTTACTTCTAATGGAGAGATTCCTTCTGCAGGGATGTCTGGGTGTAATTTAATTCGACCTTCTGATCAAAGCACTACTGACTTAAAAATATCAAGTTGCTCAGGGCCTTGTCCAGTCAAGACTTGAAAATTTTCCAAAATGAAGGTCCTACAACTTTTCTGTGCAACTTGTTAACAGAGCTTAACCACTCCTGGAGCTGGCATTTAATGTGAGCAGGCAAAAGGGTTACGCTTTTTGGTTATTTAGTTTTTGTGGAGTTTGTTTCTTTCTTCAGTGGAGGGACTGCTTCTTAAATGGAAGTTACTTCCTGCTACAGGAAATAACATTGGGAAGGTGAACTTAATAGTATACCAGTTCTTCACTATTTCTTCAGAAGAAAACATGGCAGAAGAAAATTAGATAATCAATTCTACCTTAGTCAGAAGATTTTTGATATGTGGTGGATCCTTGGGTTGCTCTGGCAGCTGAGAACAAGGAAGCTTCAGCAAGCACTAGAGCTATGATGATAAAACCAAAAATTAATTGCACATAGTTACATATTATTACTAAAAATGAATGCAGAAAAGCATATTGAACACAGTTTGTAACTAACTTAGTTAAAGTATTCCTTTTTATTATTTTCAAAGTTCAGTCGTTGGATTCTCTGTAATTTAATATCTTTTTACCAATATCCAATCAAGCACCTTTCACAGAGTACAGGCGATTAAACATTTTTTTATTATGCGATTCAAACATTTGTAGAAATTATACTCCTTGGAAGACAATAAAACTGACATTTTTTGTACTGTTATTCAAAGTAAGCCAACACTGTGTAAATCTTTATAAATAACAATCCAGCCTTCCCTTCAGGTTTTAAAATCTCTAGCCAGTGCCTTACACACTTGACCTTCTTGCTCTGTAGTCACTGCTTCACTTCAGCAATCAAAGAAGAATGACCCACTTTCTTGCCTAATAGATTTCTTTGTGGACTGTAAGCATACTTAGATGGTAATGCCTGGATGGTTTAAACACTAAATATATCAGCATAACTAGCTCCTGTAATGTTAAAAAAAAAAAGATGAATAAAAGCATAGCTAAATTAAATCTTTGAGATTTAGGCAGGCTTTTACATATTTGTGCACATACACATACTGCATTATGCATGAAAAGTAAGATAAGCTTCCGTATGGTCTTTTTTTTCAAAGGCTGGCTGGAGTACCTTTTCATAGCTTTTCTTTGCTTCAGAAAAACTGCCAGTTTGCACACCCGAGATATCTGCAGTGCTGCCTGCACAGAAAAAACTGCAACGTTTTTTCCCACATTCACAAATGCCCAAGACTCTCTTGGAACAATTGTAGAAAAAAAAAAAAAAAAAAGACCTAGCAAAACCTTGTGAGAACTATCTCACATTAGAATTCCTAGCTTTATCCAACACTTCCTGAAATCAGGTCTATCTAACTAAAAAATTCTTTTGGAAATAATTTAAAAATGGACAGGCTTTCTCTCTAAACAAAGTAATAATAAAAAAAAAGAAATCAACAAAACAGAACAAAATTCAGTTGAAGAAAAAATTCCCATTGAAAACTTGAAATGCAGTTTCTGTCTTACAGACATGCAAAAGCACATAAACGCTCAGCCAACATATTTAACAAAGTTTAACAAAACTCAAGGTACCAGATAAAAAAGTTTCTTCAACGTCCTCTTAGTAAATGTACAATAAAGAGCAGCTCAGCAATACTGACAACTATTACTCCACCGGCCCGCTCTCCGTAAGCCTGTTAAAAAGGGCAGCTGGTCATTAATAATCGGCAGTCCTTGGTTGCTTCCTTGCAGGCCCGTTCTAGTGTCC